TCCTTTACGGTGAGCTTGTAGAAGGTACAAAGATATTTTCCATGAAAACTTAAAGGGGATAAGCATATAGAATCAGTAGGAGGAAGCAGCGCACAATAGAACGCAATGGAGAAGAATTGTAAACTCCGTTAACAACGACAAACCAAAGAGTAAAGAGGCAACAAAGTAATGAGATTTTTGAATGTCCGGACTGCGGAAGAGAGATAACATCACGTATCATTATATTTTCAGTCACAGAAAAGCTCATGAAAGAAAACGCCTTACGTAACCGTCTTCTGAAGCGTGTCAAATACTCGTCAGCGAGTAATGGCAGTAAATGAGTAAGCATAACGGAAAATGTTCACAAATCCCTGTAGAAGAAAATCATAAATATTTCAGGACAAAATCATTTTAAATTTTCGCGTAATTTAGTATTTTTGTATCTCTCATAACTCAAAAACGAATTCATACAAATTATTCAAAATGAACAATTTACTTTATTTAAGGAGTTCTTTTAAAAACTTTCAATAATTTTTTCTATAAAATAAAATGGGGAAAACTTATTCATTATTTTTAAAATTTACATGGGTTTTCTTATGTCGACGATACAACACACTGTATGCTAGCCTTATAGGAGTATTAACTATATGCTGTCATGTAGCCTGTAGTAGGACAAACCATAGTGAGTTTTAACTCATAAATCTCAGCTTTTTACCTGAAAAAGACATCCAGATCTGCATCCGCAAATGGTCGGGGATTCCTTCCAGCACCAATTTGGCTACTTCCGTCGTTCGGTACATCCACACTCCTCTTCCGTAGGTGTTAAAGTGTTCTTCCCACTCCCTGGCACGTTGTTGTTGCCTCTTGTTCACCTCGGGTATCGGACTCAGTGGAAAAATGTTCATCAAAGCCTGTTGAGGCTTCCACTCTGGTTCTAGGTCAACCAGCGATCCTTTCGATCTGTTTGAGCCAGAAAACCTACACCAATAAATCAATTAAAACGGTAATTGCGATATACGGGGTGTCCTATTTTCGTGTATTTAATGGGGTTTCTCGTTTAAGAGTAGAGATACAAGGGATGCGGTTTTCACTCAACTGAGTTCCGTAGAGTTTTTCACGTGGAATCCGGCGACCTAGCTAGTTTTTTTTTGCTGAGGCTGTCATTTTTCACAGTCTTCGTCAAAAATATGACTCAATTTTTTTTTTGAGTGGAATACCCTGTATATAATAATTGTTTTTATTATATTTACCTTGTTATGAGCTTTCATCACTTTATACCTAATTTCATATAAGTCAAAATGCATTATTTAACTTTTAGAGATAATTTTGCTTTCTATCTTACTAAACTGCCCTAAAAATGAACTTGTGTAGCTTTTAGATAACACGCTGTCAATCAGAGTTATTGATATTTTTTGATGCACTTGTGCAAAAACTCTACACCAGATAAACTAGCGTGCAATAGCTAATAGCAAAATTTGACATAGAATATTATTATATTAATGGGCTACATTTAAAAAAACATAAGTTCAGTCATATTTCATGAATGACATCTCAAACTTTATGAGACTCAGTGTTTTATCTTTTCGATAAGTTATAAGACAGCAAAATATGAAGGGGTAGAAAAATGCAACATTTTTAAAAATTCGCCCTGTTTTTCAGGAACCAAAGCTAGGACAAATATGTGCATAGTGTGGCAAAAAAGTAGCACAGCAATGTGAAAACCGCATGTTTTTACCTCTACTCATAAACAAGAAATCCTGCAAACACAGGAAAATGGGACACCCTGTACATCAAATTCTACCAACCGCTCCTGATGACATTATATACGGCTATTGTCAACTTACGTCGTCATTTCTTGAGTTTTGGCTAGGAGCTCGGACAACTTTTCAACGACAAAATCCCTGTCCAGTATTTGTGCAAATATAAAATTAGTCTTGTTCAACACATCCCTGGTTGTCACTATTATCGCCTTATCAAGCGCCTGATTGGAAACGTTTGTTTCTATTTTTTCAGCGCTGACAACATCGCGTAATGGAATTACCACACTAACTTGTGCTTTGATCTGTTTAAAAAAATGTACAAAATATATTAGAATTCACTAGTTCAATCTTAAATAATAACAGGTATTATGCTGTTGTAATCAACGACTAAAGAATGCAAGGACGCGCAACGCGCATATACGAGCTGAAGAAAAATTTGTGCTGGAAAATTATAGGACGCCATTTTTTTGGTGTCACACAAAGAATATATACAAGGGACAATTTTAGCGATTTTTAATAGTTAGTTGTGTGTACTGACCTTTGTATAAACTTTATTAGAATGGCGATTTGTTCAGATTTACGTTTCTAGGTATATAAACAAACAATTCATTTTCTGCACTTCACCTTTTTAGATTTTTTTATTGAATTTGATAATTATTTTTATGATATTATACTAGAATGTGTTACATATTAGGCATAATAATCCATACTAATTTTGTACCTTATAAATGTTTTAATACTCTTTTTTTAAATAACTGACATATCACCACCTAAAAAAAGCAGCATCCACCATAGGCGCAGGCGAAAGTTTTTTCAAAAATATAAATAAATAAAAATTATTCATTACTAAATAAATCTAATAATTCGTAACAGTAAGTACTAAATTAAATTTTGTAAACTCCCCAATTTAGTCAACACCACCTGATCCCATTTACAAACTAATTTTGTAGCTAAAAATTGAATAACCCATTTTACTATACAAAATAAAATTAAATTAATTTACGGACGCCCTCTAACAGCTGATCTTCTACTTACCCTACTGTCAAAACAAACATAGTTTTGAGACAAAAATAACCGCCCAGCCACAAATTTTTTATTGTACGGTGTTAACAAGGTGCAATCAATGGATCCATCCAATTTCTCACTTGCCGGAAGCCTAAACATAAGCCTGTAGGCCTCGGACTGTGCCCTAGCATCCAAATCTCTTTTCAAAAACGATGCCTTCTTAGGAACGTTCTTGCTAAAAATAAATGTTCTTTGTATTTCGACCAAAATATGATCAAAAAATTTATAGGTTGTCCTCTCATATGATACCCCACATGATACACAACTTAAAATTTGAACCGCCATTCCTTGCACAAAGACCCCGTTTTTTGTGTTTCAATTAAAATTAGTAAGTTTAAAAAATCTACAAAAATATTTGGTAACCTATACAATTATGACAGCGCATACCGTTGCATAACCTCGATGATTGATTACATACTTTAAATAAAGACTATATTTTTTATGATTTAATTACAAATGTACAGTTTTCAGATGTTTCCCTATACTTGTCGTATTTACTTGCCAAATTTCATAGTTCTAGATTAATAGAAAATACCCTATAAATTTTGATTCCCTTGAGAGCGAAAGATACTTTTTTGCGGCATAAACGGTCGTATCTTTTTTTTGCGTTAACTTAGATATTTGATTTTTTCATAGCTTCAAGGAACTGTAGACCTGAGTATAAAGCCGCGTCCAAGCTAAGCGAACAAAATGTTCGCGAACATATATAATTAAACAGATATTAAGTGAAAATTGTGAGATAGGTAGATTTATAAATAATAAAGCCAACAAGTACAGCTAGCCTAGACCTATTAAGGAGCGCGGAGCGCCGAACAGCTAGCTTGTACGCCAGAGCGTGCGTCTGCCTATGCTAGAGCGCGCGCGTTCTTTTTCCGACGGGTGTCGGTACATCAAAAAGAGCGAACGGCGTGCATTTCGGCTGACATTAGGAAGGGTCTCATTTAATTTTGGGCGACCATCTGTGATTTTTTTTTCCGGAGTATTCCACAATGGGAGACGCAGTTATTAACTGGAATCGTGAAAAACATTTACAACTAATTTGTTTACACAAAGAAAAGATTTTATAATTTTAATTTTATTGTGGGTTGAGTGTGAATAGCTATTTAGCTAGGCTTCGTCCATATAATTTCATTATTGTTAATAAAGACCTTTATGGTTATTTTTATTAAAAACCGGAATTATTATGGGATTCTGAAATTGAAAATTACTACTTAATAGGAAGTTTGACACCGGAAATAAAATTTTACCATTACATTTTTAGAAATAAATATACCGGGGGTTTCTGAAAAGTGGTTCACTTC